TTTTGTTTTGTTTTGTTTTGTTTTGTTTTGTTTTGTTTTGTTTTGTTTTGTTTTTCAGGGTAAACGTATAGTCAAGAGATCCAAGAACGTCATCAGATTAGTTGGAGATGCAGTGCTGGCACTAAGAGTCCCGGATGAAGAAATGATATCGATTGAGACAACAGGACTGACCCTGACCTTAGGCCGCCATAGCCCGGATAAACTTAAAGGATTACAAATTGAAGAAAGAGGTGCTAGATTTGTTTTGCCGGCTGAAAAGAAAGCATTGGAGTCCAGCGGAATACAAGGAGCAAGTTTTGTGGATACTCAGGTATGGATATTGTATCAAGCAGCAGATGACGACGGTCCTGAGCGAAACAAGTTTGTTTTCCTTTTAAACCTGACATTTCTGAAACATGTGGTTAGAGATAATTCCCTCGACTTCATCTCGAGAAACACCGAGAAACTTACTGTTGCGCCCGTGACCGGAAATAAAGAGTACAATTAGATAGTCGCTAAACAAAACGTTTTTTAAGTAGCACCTTGGCCTTTCGCGTGGTTTTTAAGTCTAGGTACATTTCTTTTGTATTGTAACGGCGCATTTGACTGCTTATCGAAAGCTATAGATCGTTTTCCTAATTTCCATGACAACAACAAGCTTTATTCCCCCCTTGGACTAACAAAAATATTATTAGAAAACAGTCCTAAGAAAATACGCGCACTGATTGGTTAAAAATCGTGTTTCTTTAACTCGATAGAAACACAGAACTAGCACGAGCTGTTGACGTAATTATGACGCAGGCAAAGAGGATTACATTTTGATAATCAAAGTTAACAAGTTGTTTTCCTTTTTTTCGTCGCGGTGTTTTCTAACAGAAACAGAAAACATGTTCTCCGTGTTTCTATCGAGTTATAGAAACACTCGTGAAAGTTTGGGAGAACTCGTGTTTCTATTTAACAATTAGATTATGAGCTCGAGATTTCTATCACGCATAGAAATCGAGAGCGAACAATCTAATTGTTTTAGTATAAATCTGCTAGTCGTTCAAAACTTTATCTAAATCCTCTTCAAGACACTTCGAAAACGCCAAGAATCGACCGTCATTTTGCTAACAACGGCACACTGCTACGCTACTCAGTATCTATCACAGCATAAATAGTGAGTAGCGTAGCCAATCAGAGAACGGTATTCGTAATCAACGAACGCTAGTAGATTTATATTAAAACTCGATAGAAACTCAGGACATACTTTCTATTTCTTAAAGAGAGTTAGGGGCCAGGCTACTTGAAATAACCAGAGAATTAAAAAGGGTAGTCAGCTAGGTCTACAGATGTTATTTGCCATACTTGTTTAAACACGATATCTCATATGGGATACCATCCCTTTAACGTTATTAAGGACGATGCCTACTTTTGTTAGTGCGCACACGTTCTGCGCATCACGCAAGACATGATTTAAGCGCCATGCGCGTTAGGATTGGCATTGACGTAATCAACTACGCTACCAAGTACATGACTAAAATGAAAGCAAAATTTTCCTGCTGTGACCAAGTCAAGTTTAATGAACCTGTACTTTAACCAGGAACACCAGAAGAGCAGCATATCGCTAACCACTAACTTTTAACCTCTTCCAGCTGAAAGCCTAGCTGTTATCTGACGAAAATTATACTGAAATCCAACTGTAAACATGTTCCTGCCGATGGCGTAGTGCGCGCGCAAAACAAGTACGAGATACGCAAATGTTTGACTTACTGGGGAGGTGACAGAAAAAAATGTAACGGGCACCGTAAAAGTTTTCTAAAAAGATGAATGACTTCAAAAAACGCGTGGCTACCCCTACATTTTATGTTATGAAATGGTAGTGGCAAGCCTATTCAACACGTGATTAGTTTCTGGTTGTGAGCAAAAGGTATTTAGACTGTATTTTAGCTGAACCAGAGGAAGGCTGTCGGAGACTCTAAGAGCGCTGTTGAAACGATTTTGTTATTAAAAACATACCAAAAAAGGTTGTTATGTAATCATTAACCATGTAGTTCTAAGATCTTCAAATCTTTGAAGAAATATCCTTTTCTTCTTTTTTCCAAAAAAATGTTGATGTCAGCATTTTTAATGAGATTCAAGGCTAATTATCTCGAAAAAATGCGTGGCTCCCCCATTTTTCTTTGCGGATTCCAACAGCCCTTTCAAAGATCTACCTTTTCCGCGTGGTCCTAACCTGGCGCAAAAACCTTTGTATTTAGTAGGCACCGTCCTTA